GTGATGGTGGTGATGAGGATGATGGTGGTGATGATGGTGGTGGTGATGAAGATGCTGATGAAGATGGTGGTGATGAAGATGGTGGTGATGAAGATGGTGGTGATGAAGATGGTGGTGATGATAGTGGTGGTGATGAAGATGGTGGTGATGAAGATGGTGGTGGTGATGATGGTGGAAATGAAGATGGTGGTGATGATGGTGGTGATGATGGTGGTGATGAAGATGGTGGTGATGATAGTGGTGGTGATGAAGATGGTGGTGATGAAGATGATGGTGATGAAGGTGGTGGTGATGAAGATGATAGTGATGAAGGTGGTGGTGATGAAGATGATGGTGAAGATAGTGGTAATGTGGGTGATGGTGAAAATGATGATGCTGGTGATGGTGATGGTGGTAATGATGATAAAGTTGACATGTACACACCTACTATGTGCTGGCACCGTCCTAAACACTTCATGTGTATGAACTCATTTAGTCCTCATAACAATAGCAGAATTTTTATTCCCTTTTTATAAATGAAAACTCAAAAGCTAAAAGCTTAAGTAACTCAACCAAATGTACATGCTAGTAAGCAACAGATGTAAGACTGGAACCCACACAGTCTTGACCAGAGCTCAGCTAACTCTATAAAAGGCTGTGGAGTAAACACAGTCTCTGCCATAGACATCACCGTGCAAAAGTGGCATAGACATCAGGCTGTGCTCCCACTAACCCTATCTATAAACCAAGCTGTGGGCTGGTCTTGGCCCACAGGCCAATCTTTGGCAACCCATGGTCTTAACTGTTCCAGGAAAAAAAAAGGAGGGTTCACAAGCATCAATACTTTCTGGGAAATGAAATCATCATAATAAAAACAATGGAGATAAAAATAGTCATCAGCTCCTTGGCTTCTTAAACGAGGACGGTGGACAACTGAGCTCCTATTTACTAAGACATCCTGTGCACCTGGCACCACCGAGAGCAGGCAGCAGATACCACGCAGGGCACATTGGGTGGATTACACAGTCTGCTAAGTGGTGAGCCCCACGGAAAGAAGTGAGGCATGGTGGGGGGCGTGGGAGCAGGGGAGGGATGCACAAAGTGGAGAACATGGCCTCACTGAGAGGGGTGTCGCAGCAAAGGAGGTGGGGACAACGCCAGCTTCCGGGTGGGGAGCAGAGCCCGTGGGAAGGCCCCTGAGAAGGACCACGCTGGCTTGTAGAGGAAGAGCGAGGGGCCAAGAAGGACCATGTCATCTTGTTCAAGAAGAGCAAGAGGTCCACCTGGCTCCTGGTCCCCTTAGTGGGGAAGGAGGAGGCTGAGAGTCCATGGGAGTCCAGCAGCATGGGCCTTTGGAGACTTGCCTTTTACTCACAGAGGTGTGGGGACAGAGGAGTGACAGGACTGACTCAGGTAGCAAAAGGGTCACCCCAGTGCCGTGGGGCCAATAGTTCTGAACTAGGTTTCCTGGACTCAGGTCTGACTCTCATCCTAATTAGTGGCCAACCATCAGGTGATGGAGTTAGTCTTTCTGTGCCTGATTTCTCCTTCCGCATAACAGAAATGATAGTGGTTATCAGATCAGTAACTAAACAAATGTACAAAGAAAAAATTCAGGAGGCCCCTAAACATGATTCCAGGGACACTGTGAGCGCTGGAGGATATTGGTCATTTTAATCATTATTAAATCAGGGTCCCCAACGAGAGCTTCCCACCTGGGGTCGTGAGCTGTGTGAGCCTACAAACTCCCAGGAATACACTGACCGACTGTCCTCCCCTCCACCTCTGCCCAGGACACTGCCCATCTCACACATGTGGTGGTGAGCCACCCCGGGACACCGTCCCCATGAGGAAGCGAGGAGTTTGCTGGAAAGGGAGGGTCCCCACTGACGGTGAAGCTTGGGGGGCCCAGGTGCTGCAGGAAGCTGTCAGTGCTTAACATGACTCCAACCCGAGCAGCTGAAAACAAGAAACGCCTGTGGTTTCCCATGGGCCTGGGAGGAGGAGGACCCACCTGGCAGGGTCCTCCCACGTGTAGGTGGGGGGTCAGCAGGGGCTGCAGCATGCTAGGCCTGTGGGGGTGGAGGGTCGGCACCCCAGAAGGCTCACTCCCAGGGTGCTGTCACAAGGCCTTGTTCCTCCCCACCCAGGCCCCTCAGGGCCGCTTGAGGTCCGTCCCATGGCCACTGGCTTCCACTGGGTGAGCCACGATCAGGGTGACCTAGCTCAAATGTGACACTCTGTCCCTTCCCACCAGGTATCACATTCATCAGGAGCAAGTGGCCAAGGGTAGGCCACACTGAAGGGAAGGTGCGAAGTGCTGCCTGTTATAGGATTAATACCCCATAACACACTTCAAAACCCCGTACGGAGGCTGTGAGGTCAGGGCAAAGTAGCACCACCCTTGAAAATAAGACAAAATGACCACAGTATGGGCTTTCACGTTGTCAAAGGAGACAAAGTTTAAATTACCCCAATTAAAAAATTGACTCTCATACATATATGCAGTGAGTAGGAGCCAACGGTTTACTATTAATACGTGAGGGAATCACAATGATAAAACTGATTATCCAAGGATGGCTCAAGGAACAAAGGTCTTTAGTATTCATTGGGAAAGAAATGCTGGAATAGGCTGGCTCAGTTACAATTTTTAAAAATTTACTGCCTTTGAATTTTTTTTTATCAGACAAAAATAAGTTGGAATTTATCAATCTTCTCCTCGTTCACATCTAACTTCAGAGAATTTGTGTCTCAGTTTGATTTCTGTTGATGAAACAAAATACCTGACACTGGGTAATTTGTGAGAAAAAGAGGTTTTGTTTGGTTGGTTGTTTTTGTTTTGTTTTGTTTTTGGCTCACAGTTCTGAAGACTGGGAGGTTCAAGATTGGCAGCTGCATCTGGTGAGGTCTTTTTTCCTGGTGAGAACTCTGCAGAGTCCCAAGGCAGTATAGGGCATTTTATAGTAAAAAATAGCACTATTATGGTTTGGACGTGACCCCCAATATATCAGGGGTCAGACAATGCAAGAAGGCTTAGAGGTGAAATCACTGGGTTATGAGAGCCTTAACCCAATCAGTGGTGGGGCGTTCAGACCCTAGGGATGCACTGGGAGCCAACCGATAGCAATTAGTGAGACAAACCAAGGACCCATTTCTGAGGGAACTAACTGTTGGTGGGGCCTGTTTGACAATGTGAAAGCCCACACTGTGGTCGTTTTGTCTTATTTTCAAGCTTAGGGATATATCCCAGTGCCACATCCCCAGCCGTTTTTATTTTATTTTATTTTGAGATATGGTCTCACAAAGTTGCGGAGACTGGCCTTGAACTTGCAATCCTCCTGCTGCCTCAGCCTCCCGAGCTACTGGGCTCACAGGCATGCACCACATGTGATCTCATTGGTGCATTGTCCATTCATTCATCCTGTCTGGATTCTCATTTCAGCACGTTTTGTAATAGACAGAGCTGGTAGAGGCACCCCCGGCGCCCCAGCCAGCTTGCTGCGTCTCTGCAGGGCCAGCCACGTGCATGCTCCGTTCTGAATGGGAAGAACTTGAAGGAGCTCGATCAGCCCGTGGGCACACAGGGCTAATTCACTGTTGAGAATGGCACCCTGGCATTTAGGGGAAACGGTGTCCACCTGTACAATCAATTTGCAGACAAGAGCCTATTTTTCGAAAACCACTTTGTCAATAGCTTAACTCTGGAATTTGTTCTTGTAATTGGCAGTAATTTCTGAGTTGTTTCTATCTGGCCAATTTATAGTGCATTTAATGATTTTGCATAAGCAGCATCTACATTAAATTTATATTTCTGAATGCTATTTATCACATTGGTAGTCTTATGTGAATAAGAGGTTATTTTCTGACTTTCAATCAACCCAATATTTATTTTTAAACCCCTTAAGGATTTTTTTTTGTCCCACATGTTTGAATATGGTTTCTTTAAAATTCATGCTTTTACAGTAAATAGTTACCGATGGTGGTCAAGATGTTGTTAAATTGTTCTGCACTGACGGGTACTAATTCAGAGCCATCACGGAGAGTCTTAAAAGCATATTGATGGATTCACAATCATGATTTTTTTTTTTTTTGCCAATGAGATATTTAAGAAAGATCAACTGTGGAATCATAGATGTTTGTCACAACCTAGTGCTTAATAGCAAAAATGAACCAACACAACCCAACAAAATAAGGACCAATAATAATGGGCTGGAATAAATGAATGATAAAAGACCCTTAGGAATTTTTTGCACAGCTGTTCAAACCTAGGAAATCATTATTCATGTTAGTGTGGGAAACGAGTCTACTGTGGTGCCCCAGAGAGCAGCAGGTTGAGAGTGGCCTCTGTGACGCTGCAGCAGGACAGCTGTCTGCAGTGACATGGGGGAGGAAAAGTGTCCTCACGGGATTCATTCACAGAAGCATTCCCATTCTTCTCCTGGTTAGCTCTTCTGGATTTTCAGGTTTTTCTGCAGTGGACCTGTAGCCTATACGCTCCCCCAGTAGGAATTCCCCATGGCCGGCGTCTCCATGGCCCTGGCAAAGGCAGGCAGGCGGGGAGGGGAGGGAGGGATGCTGGGCAGAAGCTGCTTCCCTGCATGCTCCTCAGAGCCAAGGGCCCTGCTCAGAGCTGCCGGGAGGTTGTCTCCAGAAACTCCCTTCCGGGGCCAGGCCAAGCAGCAGGTGCTTCAGGAGGCTCCAGGGTGTCACATCACCCTGCTCCTCCCTGGCTTGCAGTTTCAGTCTCCTCCCAGCGACCCGGGAGGAGTGCATAAATAATCAAGTATGCACTTAAAAAGCCGGAGCATCCTCGAGGAGCCGCAGACTCCGCAGGCTCCCGCCAAGAGAAAGGAGCCACCGAGGTGTCCTCTGGGTGCTGGCAGGGCAGGCTCTCCTGACCCCAGCCCCAGAAGCCCTGGCCCAGCGGAGGTGGTCACGCGCTGGAAGGCTCAAGAGCCTGCTTGCTACCCGGGCCCCTGACAGCCCTCAGCCTTTGTCTGCACCTAAAACTTTTTTGCTGTTTGTTTCAAAATAGGGGAATCTGCACATCGAGGAATTCAAGATGGTCCTGAGCGGGGCGCTGTGCTTCCGGTGAGTGTGTGGGCCTCCGAGGGCAGTGCGATCTGGGTGGACCTGTCCAGCCTTGTGAGGGCGGGAAGGACCTGCTGCCCCAGCCGGGGCTCCCAGGGGAAGACAGGCGGCTGGGAGTCAGGGCCAACAGTCACCGCCCCTGCCGTTCTTCCAGCCTTTCAGACTGGGACAGGCCCCGGCAGCCCGCCTGAGGGGGACAAGTAACCACGGGGAAGATGGAGACAGGAGCCCCCTCCGAGCTCCGCTCTGCTCCCCACACCATGAGTTCATGTCACTCCAGCCACTGTGCCACCTCCTCCCTGCAGCCCTGGGGGTGGGGGGAATAGAACAAAAACAATCTCCAGAGGTCTGCCACCCACAAGTGTGTAGCGACCCAGAAACTCAGCTGTGTGCGGACTTCACAGTGAAGGGGGAGAGCAGCCCTCTCTGACCTGAGTCTCGTCTGACTGGTCCTCCATATCCTTGGTTTCCACATCCACAGATTGAAAATATATATATATCTCGCATCTGCGGTGAACATGTGCAGATGATCTTGTCATTATTCTGTAAACAATGCAGTATGACAGTGTTTGCATACATTTGCATGATGGTAGGTATTGTAAGTCATCTAGTGATGATTTATGGTATGGCAGAAGATGTGTGAAGCTTCTATGCAAACACCACGCCAGTCTGTGTTGGGGCCTTGAGCCTTGTGGATTTCGGCGTCTGTGGGACCAGCAGCCTGGGCACTTGGGGGACGACTGGCTAGCACGTTTCAAAGTATGTTCTATGGGCCTCAGTCCCATGGGGCTCTTCATACATTCAAGCTCTTTGATCAAGTACATGCGGCAAGGGGTGCCTTCCCTGTCCTGGTAAGAGCTCACGGTGCCACTCAGCATGCCAGTGACTTTGGATCTTACTAAGTAATGGAGCTTGTTTAATCATGTTAGGGCAAACATGCAGCCAATGTTTACACTGAAGACTTTTCCCCAGTTAATATCTGCAGAAATCTGCTTCAGAATATCTTGCCACCTCACAGTATATCAGAAAACCAATCAACTCATATACAAGCAATAACTAAGAAAAGTAAAATAAATCAATTTTAAATTTAGAGAAAATCCTCACTCAGAAAGGAATACATGGCCAAGCGGAAGTAAATAACCACTGAAGTCTTCAGTAATACTTGAAGACACAGATTTTAATCAGGAAGAGACCTGGGTGCTACCTAACCCATCTTTAGCAATGAGGAGACTCATTGCTAAATGAGCCCAGAGAGGGTGGGTGACTTGTTCCTGTGGCTCAGCAGCATGGACGGCAGCTGCAGTCACTTCTCTCTGAGAAACCATGTGGGGACTGTGGATAGGAAAGATTGGATAGGGTGAGACTCAGGTGGGGGCCTGGGCTCATCCCCTGGTAGGGTAGGAGCCCAGCAGGCCTGGGGGAAGGCTGGGCTGTGGTACCCAGCATTGTTGGA